GAGTCCCTGCCACTGTTATGAATTAAAATACAATGGACTGTGTGCATTTATGAAAAGTTAAATCTGGATGAAATGGTGATAAGTTAGATAAAATTGAGCATTAATTGTGCACTTGTTAACTGATATATAACATTTTAAAAACTCTATCAAGATCTTACCTGTAATTAATCGGCTATCATGCTTTAATTTCAAAATAAAAAGATTAAATGTGTAAAATTTTTAACTTGCAGATCATTTTACAGTTTATTTTTTTCCTTCCCAGGGGATGTTGATCTTCTTCTTTGCGACCTTCAAGCCACTAACATACAACAAGACGTACGAGTACCCTCCGTATGCACAGGGCCTGGGCATGTGCATGGCATTCGCATCCATGATCTGCATCCCGCTGACGGCACTCTACAGGATAGCTAGGGCCAGGGGGACATTGGCTGAGGTGAGTGGACAAATTGTGGACCTTCTGAGGAACAAAGGTTTTCTCTCTCTCTCTCTCTCTCTCTCTCCAGATATTTCGGATTTAAAGGTAAGTAATCTAGACTATGAACTGTTTACAGCAAGTAGAATGATGCAGTTTCATTTTAGAGTCAGTGGAAATGTTTTATATCTGGTTGACAATAATAATGATGTTAGAACCTGTTGGAAATTAGCTGTAGTGGGTTTAGAAAACTTAGCACAGAGTATTTATGAATTGTGACATCACTGTGCATTGTGTGTGTATCTGACATCACTGCATTGTGCGTGAATGTGGCATCACTGCATTATGCTTGTATGTGACATCACTGCATTGTTCATATATGTGGCATCGCTATGCATTGTGACATCATGGTACAGTGTATGTGTGTGACATCACTGCATTGTGTGTGTGTATGACATCACTACATTGTGTGTGTATGTGACATCATTGTGCATTTTGTATGTGACATCACTGCATTCTGTATGTGACATCTCTGTGCATTGTGTAACTGACAGCACTGTGCATTGTGTATGTGACATCACTGTGCATTCTGTATATGTGACATCACTGCATTGTGTATGTGATATCACTGTGCATTGTGTATGTGATATCACTGTGCATTCTGTATATGTGACATCACTGCATTCTGTATGTAATATCACTGTGCATTCTGTATATGTGATATCACTGTGCATTGTGTATGTGATATCACTGTGGATTCTGTATATGTGACATCACTGCATTGTGTATGTGATATCACTGCATTGTGTGTGTATATGTGGCATATCAGGTGATATACTTGAAGGAAATGTCATACTATGGTTCATTCATAATTGCTTGTTTTACTTTCTTAGGTATTTAGTTCAACATTTTATGTGCTTAATATTTTTGTGCTTTTTACATTGTGGAGAGAAAATTAGAAATTGGAGTGTAACATGATAACTATTATAGCTAGATCTTGTCACCCAAGTAAATAGATAAAGATGGACCGTACAGCTGCAGCCTGCTGTAGTGCATGTAGTTAAATACTGTGGATTAATTTGCTGTTTTGTTGTGCAGTTTTTTAACAACCCAGACACCTTCAAATCGGTCTGAAGATTGCTTTTGACAATGTATTAATGTTTACTGAACGTGCATGTGTTGTGCAGCGTTGAATTTCTGGAGTGATGCGTTTACTGTTGCTGTAGCTTTTCTGACTGTACATGTATTATGGTTTGTTTGGTAGTTTTGATATTATGGTGTTGCTGTAGTGAGCAAATGTACAGTACTGTTACAGTAGTTTTCACTGTATATGTATATATGTGCAATACTGACTATACTGCAGTCATGTTCTGGTAGTTGTCACGTAGGTATATTCACCTTTAAAATTGTTGTACAACATTCAGTTTGATTGCTATAAGAATTAGAATAATATAACATTCCTAAAAGCTCAACTAAAGATAGTTGTGGCCTTATACATCAATCCATCTGTGTTGCCTCTCTTTTGAGGTTTCTTTTGTTGTACATGTTTGTTTGAGTGTTGCACTGGAAATGTAGTTGTTTTCGGCATTTATATATTAGTCAGCCTTGTGTCCTGTGTAGTCTATAACATGCTGCATTGCTTAATTGGCAGTTATCACTGCTTTTTTCAAATTTTAGTTATTTGATTTATAGTGTAACATAGATAAAGTTGTTGATTTGCCTTTATTTTTGTTCTTCATTTGTTAGCAGTTACTTCTGATCAATACTTACCTCTGTAATTCAAGCTTATCTTCAAACACTGCATTCACTGATAACTATGTGTTAACTTTTACCATAAAACAACTTTGAATAACAGAACTCGACTAAAAATGTCTGCTTCTTTTACTAACAATATGACAATTAATATGTATTAGACATGTTACTTTATAACTGAGTTGACCAAACTAAACTTTTTCGGATGTCACTGACAAGTGGCAATGACTGGGTAAATTCTTTAAACATTATGCAGGGCTCACACCTAGGAGTTTTTTTTTTAATGAAATCGATTTGTTCCTAATTTACAACCAAAAGGAATTTTTTTTACCAAAGCAGTAATGAATTTTGGAAATTTCTATTTCACTTTCTCTGGCAAAGAAAGCGTTTTGAAGTACGTAACTGCATGGTTAAGAGAAGATTTTCCATAGCTGGTGCGAAATCAAATACAGCTTGCCACCTTTCTGACTTACTAAGTGTTGGTCTCATTGGCAGGTTGTTCTAGTAAGCCTAGTCAGGTGCTTTACATGATGCATTCATAAAAAAAAAGATACTTATTTCCCTTCACTCTCCATATATTATTTGCTTAATTCTTGCCTTGATGCAGCGTTGGGCATTTGTGACTACACCACGGAACCGACCAAAGGAGGCCAAAATTGCTCATCTAACTTACGCCGTCATCCCAACCTATGATGTTGAAAACGTGTCCAAAGTTCCCACAGCAATGCAAAATGGCAGCGACCACGCCCATCCCAAAGAAAAAGCCACGAACAACAACGCCACCCCTATGCTCTCTCCGTCCGATCTAATGGCTAATGGAAATGCTGTATAATACATTCTTCTTGTTTACTTTGGTGGTAGGTAGCACATGGGTATCTCTGCTTATAACAGGTTGTACTTTCTCTGCTTTTGCTTCTGGGTATTTTGCATGAGTTTTGCTTCTCTGTAATTTTAACAGTCTGATTCAGAAAAATGATTTTGTGTGCATAATGAAAGTTTGGACTTTGGGATGTTGCTGATGCTACATTTTTTTCCAGTCAATAATTTGATTTGCTTTTATTTTATTTTTGAGGAAATAACATAATAATCTGAAAAACTGCTGGTTTTTCTATAAAAAAAAAAGAAAAAGAAGAATAATTTGTCTTTAAATGTATCAATTTTTGTGTGTAGGGACTGTTTCTTCTTTAATCACCACTAATAATGTGCTTTTGTCTTAGTAAGAAAGAATACTGATTCCCATTCAGTTTTGGCAAGAATCTGTAAAAAGATTATACTCCATTAAATAAGCTGAAATAAATTGTTTTCTGAATGCATAACTGCCTGTCTTGGCAGGTTTTTAAATTGATTGGACTTGTGATATTGAATTTTTGCTGTAATATTTAGTAATGAAAAGCCAGCAAGATCAGTATGTAAAGGAGCTTTTCATGTCAACATTTTGCTGACATTTGTCAGCATTTTCCCTTACAAGCTCTGTGTGTAATAGTCATAAAAAAGAAAGATAAAATGGATCTAAAACAACAGGTAGGAAAAAAATCAAAAGATATGTGATACATAGAATTTTTTGCAATACTGCATTTTTTGTGTGACGGTGCATAGTGGAGATTGATTTGCTGTGGATAGGTTGCTTTTGGAGCTTCTGTTTTAATTTTGATACAGTTGACTGGTGAGTTTGTTAATATGAAAGTTTTTGTTCTGATTATGATATTATTTTTGGCAGCTTGCTTGTGCCAGTAGTTGTTAAAAAACCCCATACACAAACACCCACAAAAGCATGCACATGCACAGACACACATGCATGCACACACGCAGGTCGTACAGATGTGTTTTTCCACCAGTGAGTGCACTCCTCGGGATCTTTGAATTTTCATGATAACTTTTGGTTTGATAAACATATCTTACTGGAGAGATTAGGAGATACATGAAACATTATCAATATTATAGGTATTTTTATGTACAGACACAGATGTGTCTGTACATATTGCCATCACCTGCGTCTGTCGTCGCCGATCATGTCGCCGTCGCCGTCGCCGTCGCCGTGCACTTTCAGCGTTAACACCATAAGTGGAAGACAGTTTTACTTTTTGGCTTTATATTTACAGAGCTGATGAATATTCATAAAACACAGGTCAAGTTCGAAAATCAGCATGATCGGGCCATTATTGTAGAATTTATGCTGTTTTTTCACTTTTCAGCATATATGCAACACTGTTAACACATTTCAAGGAAAACTGATAGGCCTGTTGTCATGAAACTCACAGGAGTAATCAATCTTACTAAAACGCAGATCAAGTTCGAAAATCGGCATGATCGGGCCACTATTTTAGTAGTTATGCTGTTTTTT